TAGGCTTCAGCCGCCACACGGGCAAAATTCAAAATTACTTACCCACTGAAAAATGTTTGTTGTGTCTCGCGCGCTCGTAATCGTGAGGTTGCGGGTTCGGGGTTCAAGTTGATCTATCCACTTTGATGTCTGATAGTTGAGTGACATATCCACTTTGATGGTTGAGTGACCTATCCACTTTGATGTCTGATAGTTGAGTGACCTATCCACTTTGATGTCTGATAGTTGAGTGACCTATCCACTTTGATGGTTGAGTGACATATCCACTTTGATAGTAGAGTGACATATCCACTTTGATAGTAGAGTGACCTATCCACTTTGATAGTTGAGTGACCTGTCCACTTTGATAGTTGAGTGACCTATCCAATTTGATGGTTGAGAGACCTATCCACTTTGATGTCTGATGGTTGAGTGACCTATCCACTTTGATAGTTGAGTGACCTATCCACTTTGATAGTTGAGTGACCTATCCACTTTGATAGTTGAGTGACCTGTCCACTTTGATAGTTGAGTGACCTATCCACTTTGATAGTTGAGTGACCTATCCACTTTGATAGTTGGGTGACCTATCCACTTTGATAGCTGAGTGACCTATCCACTTTGATAGTTGAGTGACCTATCCACTTTGATAGTTGAGTAACCTGTCCACTTTGATAGTTGAATGACCTATCCACTTTGATAGTTGAGTGACCTGTCCACTTTGATAGTTGAGAGACCTATCCACTTTGATGGTTGAGAGACATATCCATTTTGATGTCTGATGGTTGAGTGACCTATCCATTTTGATAGTTGAGTGACCTATCCACTTTGATAGTTGAGTGACCTATCCACTTTGATAGTTGAGTGACATATCCACTTTGATGGGTGAGTGACCTATCCACTTTGATAGTTGAGTGACATATCCACTTTGATGGGTGAGTGACCTATCCACTTTGATAATTGAGTGACATATCCACTTTGATGTCTGAGTGACCTATCCACTTTGATAGTTGAGTGACATATCCACTTTGATGGGTGAGTGACCTATCCACTTTGATAGTTGAGTGACATATCCACTTTGATGTCTGAGTGACCTATCCACTTTGATAGTTGAGTGACATATCCACTTTGATAGTTGAGTGACATATCCACTTTGATAGTTGAGTGACATATCCACTTTGATGGGTGAGTGACCTATCCACTTTGATAGTTGAGTGACATATCCACTTTGATGGGTGAGTGACCTATCCACTTTGATAGTTGAGTGACATATCCACTTTGATGTCTGAGTGACCTATCCACTTTGATAGTTGAGTGACATATCCACTTTGATAGTTGAGTGACATATCCACTTTGATAGTTGAGTGACATATCCACTTTGATAGTTGAGTGACATATCCACTTTGATAGTTGAGTGACATATCCACTTTGATAGTTGAGTGACATATCCACTTTGATGTCTGAGTGACCTAGGTCACTGAGCCAATCCTAACCCTCCGGAGACACTAGCCATTGCAAGAAGAAAGAAAATCCCCCCCCCCCAACTTACCCCCCTCCCCACAAAAAACAACAACAAACAAACAATTCCTCTCCCCCCCCCCTAAAAAACAACAACAACAACCCAATAATACAGTTTGTGGCCCTGTTGGCCAAAGCCTGATATATACCAGTCGAGATTAACACATGGCTGTAAGAAAAGGAGACAAGGGCGACATCTTTAAAGATCTGTAAGGTCATCAGCAGCTTGTATATAGATCGCATTTCAAGTTTTGGGGCCATAAGAACAGTTTAAAGAAAAAGAAAAAAGATTGCTTAGACTTTCCTCGAGAAATACACCCCCCCCCCCTACCTCGTCCCTCCTGGCACGCCGAGAGGGAAAAATCTATATAAAAATCTTTTGTTTTAGTAAGAGTTTTACGGCACTTGCAGCACAACAAGGTCATACAAGTGCTGAAGAATAGATGTATTACAGGAGAGTAACATACACAAAAAGAAAGAGGAGAGATAAGGACGATAGATGTTTGATAAGAAAGATAAGGAGCAATTTAAACCACACCAGAGCACCCACCAACCACTCACAAAATCTTTGTGTTCAGACACATACATGACAGACTGCCAACACAAAAAATGTACATATGTAGGTGTTTTTACACTCCATCGACACAAGTTAGACATCATTTAGGAGGAGAGCTTCTGGTCCCTCATGTCTGGGCCAACTCGGACTCAGATGGACATCTCCTGGTAAGAAGACGGAGGTTCTTATAAAAATTGTTTCCCCACTCAAGAATCAAACCCAGATCCCATGAGTGCGACAGCGAAGCGCCTAACCGCTGCATCACAGGCGCCGGTTCAAAACCAAAGAATCGAACTCAAGAAGAACACAGACATGTGCTATTATAGTAGTTTTATTATGCACCCAGATCTTGCCTGACAACACTGCCATAGGTTGTCGTGACCCTGCTCAGGCTCAGTCACCTTTTTCATTTACATTAATTCTTATTCATTACCCCGTATTTTATTAGTTCTACAACACATGCAACGTTATTGTTGTTCGTTTCTACTCTAAATTTTGTCTTGTATGTCGATATCGAACTAGTAATGCTATATAGGCCTATATTTTTCCATTTGTTTGACTTGAATATTGATTGATTCTTCGTTCTGCTGTGGGTTTCTCCACAGAGTTGTCCCCCTTAGTTTACGCCCCTACGGTAGATGGCGATGACGAATCACTACATCCGCCATTATTCTGGAGTCCATAGTCGGTAAACAAACCAAGAGTGTCGAGGTGAGACTGTGGTGCCAGGGCGAATTTGTGCTTTTGAAGACATTTCCAACTGTGTTTTAGTTTTGGCCTTCATTATGTATCGAATTATTTTAGACTTGGTTATCGAAGTGTCTGAAATTGTGTCAGTTTTGTTGTCTATGCTGAAGTGCCATGGGGACAGTGACCTGGCTGGGCTGGCAGCTTGATTCTGCTGTACAATTCAGAAGATAATCAGTCAAGTCAGTGGACTTGCTCTTCGTATGTAGATCTAGATCTAGATCTAATACAAAAACCTTGCTTACGTTCATGCGATAATTGTACCACTAAGAGATTTTTCTGTTTCTTATATCATTCAAAGGACGTAACTGTTATGCAAAGACATCGTCACAGACAGGATTGTTGTCAATGAATGCTTCCGTCGATTTCCTACCGCAACACCGTCATCACGTGTTGTACTTTTACACTTGTTGTGTTTAGCTCAGCTTACTTAGCTTAGAGGCTACTTTTAGTTTAAAACGTTTTATCTAGGGTTGGGTAATAAGGGTAGGAACAGGGTAACCTTCACCCTCATTATCTGACTCCTGCAAATTGGTATACAAATAAACGAAGTGAGGTGGGAATAATTTTGTGGTTATTTGGTTATTTTTTGTTGTACCCACCTGGGTCGGGTCACATCATCTGTCCCATTCCTATGGCAACATTTTTAAAGTAGGCCTACAAGATTATTGAGCGAGAGCTCTACAAAAAGTCTAGAAGATTTAGGATCCATCTAGATCTAGAGATCTAGTTTTATGAGTTGTAATACAGGCTGAAGGTCCACCTCAGCCTCTTTGTCTCTGAACATTAGCAGTAGCCTGTAGCAGACCACCACTAGATCTAGGTCTACTCTGTCCTAGGGCGCGCTGGGTGGTGATAGGGTGATAGAACATTGACAGAAAGGGGGAGGGGGGATGTAGATATGGAAATAAAATGCCAACAAAAAGGCTTTATGCTGTAGTGTGTATGAATGTTAATGGGGGTATGTGTGGGCTGCCCAATAATCACTGACATAATAATATAATGATCCTGGATCAATGTATTCTTTTTGATGAGAGGGATGAGGATTTGTCTTGTGATGCTTCCTCTCCGATCCAGTCAGAGCCACTGCAGAACTTCCCCTGGAAACACACTCAGTGCCTATTCAAAGAGCCAGATCTGGCTCAAGACACGACCCTCACCTGCTTGTGGGTGGTTGGCGGATGCTCTGGTGTGGTTTGCTTCTTCTTTCTTATCAAACATCTATCATCTTTTATCGCCCCTTCTTCTTTTTTGTGTTTGTTACTCTCTTGTAACGCTTCTAACCTCCGGCACTTATATGACCTTATTGTGTTGCAAGTGCCGTAAAACTCTTACTAACAAATTACCTCCTTGTACAAGTACTTTTTCCTCACATTTAGCGTCTCGCAGATCTCTGCCCCCAATTGGCTCCAGCTTTTGCAACCACTCCTCTGTCACCTTGCTACAAAAAGATCGCCAGGCCGCAGTAGAATAGGCCGAAAGACGCGAACACCTGCTGTCTTATGGTCCCACAAATGAATGAGAAAATAGTTCACTAATAACACATTTTCTCTGTGCAGAAATAGAACAACTATTTAAGAAAGAGAACTTGTTGTAGGAAATGCTGAAGTCACAATGTCTGTGAATGTCTCCTCTTTTTTGTCTTAGGAATAAAAAAACTTCTCCAACTACACTACATCACACACGTTTGTCTCCGCCACACGAAATTTGCAGTTTATCCCAGGCGCACCACTTCCTTCGGCAAAACACTATATGAACGTAAAATATCAAGGTTTTTCTGGTTTTCTTCGTAGAATCTTGAGATGGCGAAGAAATAAACGAAGGTGCACGACTGGCCACAATTCATGACACCAGATGACAGAATGTAGAGACTCTTAACAAAAGGGAAATGGTTTTGTGCATGCTTGGTCAACTGACAGAATATTTAAAATTGTTGCGCATGTGCAATGAAAGGGGGGGGGGGGGGCAGCATGTAACCTATGTAAAGGGAAGTGTGTGTAATTTATCACACTTAACCCCTGCGCAATTGCATCATTGATTCCTGGTGTATAAGTGCAAATTTCATGAAAATAAACAAACAATAAAGGAACTAGTATCTTGTAAACGTCCCATTTGCCGCGGTTTTGAAGGTTATAAAGTATATATCGTTTATAACCCACCTTTAAAACTACAAAAAACATGATGACAACTGTCAACCTTAGACAACAGTCCAATAATGCTCAAAATACCAATTACACGTAAAATAAGACAAAATGATACATAAATTTTGGGTTCTATGCAAGCGCGCTTTTGTTCTCATCTATCTTGCGCCCTCAGCTTCAAATGCTAACGGTGTCGAATGCTTTTGGTTTCTTTCAGACTTTTAAGGATCCTAACAGGCACAATGGCGGCGGGCCCTTACAATTACAGTTATATCTTCAAGTACATCATCATAGGTGATATGGGCGTGGGGAAATCCTGTCTGTTGCACCAGTTTACGGAGAAGAAATGTAAGTACAAGTTTTGTGTGTGTTTCTGTGGTTCACTTGAATATGTTTTAGAATTCCTTGAACAATGACTATGTTTCTATCAATGTGTTACTTTTGCCACTGTTAAATGGTTTGTCAATTTGTACTAAAATAGACAGGCTTCTGAAGGCTTCTTTAAGTCCTACGTAAATTATTGAGCTACTTGGATCTCTCAATTTGAAAGTAAAATTTTACTCCAGTTGATCTGTATTTGGTTGGGGATGAAATAAAAAGAATGTAGGCGTTCAGAATAAGAAGGAAAGCTAAGTGGAAATAAGTCTCTATTTCACTTGCGCATTTTCTTGCGTAATTCTTGAAATACAGCTTTGACATATATGTCTCCATAAGAACAGGAGAGTTTTTACAATGTCTCTGTTGTTGCTATTTGACCTAATTTCCTTGAAAGTTTTTTTGTTGACATTTAGTATTTTCTCCCAGTTTGTTACGTCACATGCTGTTGAAGTAAGTCTCCTGCTTTGGTTTTCTGACACGTTTTACTCTTCTGTTTTTTTTTGTTTGAGAATATATTTTTTTGTCTCGCTTTTAGTAGGCAGTTTAAAAGGTCCTTTATTGTGCTGTGTTGTGACTCAATTTGTAGCTTTTTGTGTGTGTGGGTGGTTGGCGGGTGCCCTGGTGTGGTTTGCTTTTCCTCTGAAACATCTATCGTCCTTATCTCCGCTTCTTTTTTTTAATGTTTGTTACTATCTTGTAACACCTCTAATGTTCTGGTTCTCATATGAGCTTTGCAGTTGCAAGCGCCGTAAAACCTCTACTAAAACTTTCTTGTGTAGGTTTTTTTTTTTCCTCCTTTTCATCTTGAGTTTCGTATGAAAATATTAATGTTGTCCACGGTTTTCAGTCTACATTGTATTCTGTCAATATCATATGTTTGACATTTTATGTTACCTGTGGATTGACGTTCAGGGGATGTGTTTGTTTGTGTGTGCGTGTGTTTTTGTTGATGGCTCTTGTCTGAAACAGTCTCATGTCCTTTTCCAGTCATGGCAGACTGCCCCCACACTATAGGAGTGGAGTTCGGAACTAGGTAAGTCTCTCTATAAGTTTCGTTGTACGACTGAGACTTCATGAGTCTTGGTTGGTTAGACGCACACTAATGTTGACACCTAAAGAAAGGGCATTTATTTCACTGATCTGTTCAAGAACAGCAGGAAGTTTGTGTGCTGGATTTTAATAACTCTGTGCAATCAAGCTTTTAAAAATTTGTTTTTATGTAGTAAAGTCACAGGATGCGTTGATGTCTACTTGTCTAGTTGTGGCGCGCTGTAGCTTTTGCGTGTTTGCTGGTCGGTCTTACTAAACTCCAATTTCATGGTTGGCGAGTGCTCTGATGTGGTTTGCTCCTTCTTTCCTATCAAACATCTGTCATCCTTATCTCCCTATCTTCTTTTTTGTGTTTGTCACTCTCTTGTAACACCTCTAATCTTCGGCTCTTATATGGCCTTGTTGTGATGCAAGTGCCGTAAAACTCTTACTAAAACTAAACTAAACTCCAATTTTTAAGCCACTGTTTTTGTTATGTAAAGATTCACTTTTCCTCAGTCAATAGATTTGTGAACTGTGAGTAATTGAGTTGCTTGAGAGCGTGGGGTTGTCTTTGTGTCAGTCGAAGATACAAGAATGATTAGCTTATCATGTTGATTTTCTTCCAAAAGTTATTTCGGCGTAAGTAGACTTTTCCATGACCCCACCATGCCCTTCCTCCCCCTGTAACTGACTGACTGCTCGGCACTGTTTACGTTTGGGAAAAAATAAAGAAGGACTGGGTATGGGTGTGTGTGTGTGTGTGTGTGCGTGCGTGCGTGCGTGCGTGCGTGCGTGCGTGTGTGTGTGCAAAACGTTGGGGAAAGGTTTTCTTTGCTCCAGTTCAAAGAAGTGTTTAGTATGGGTCATTTTGTGTGTATATGTTTCTAGTTGCTCACGTTTCAATTTTATTGTGACCATTCGTGAATTTTTATTGCATTGTATATTTTTTTAGTGAACGTATTTCCAACCTCACTGCGAGACTGTTTTTCTCACAGAAACTTTTACTCACATACATAGATATTATATAGATATATATGCTTAATAGGCCTACTTTGTTTTGCGAACACGCATGTCGATTAATTTTTAAGATGTGATGTCTTTTTCGATGTAATGCGCATTAGAAGCATTTTTTTTTAATTTGGAAAATGGAAATGCGCAGTATAAATGCTATTTATTGTTGTTATTATTGTTATTATATACGTAATCGTGTCTGCCTCAGAATCATTGAAGTGGCTTCCCAGAAGATCAAGCTTCAGATTTGGGACACAGCCGGCCAGGAGCGCTTCCGAGCGGTGACGCGGAGCTACTACCGCGGTGCCGCCGGCGCCCTCATGGTCTACGACATTACGAGGTAACCCAGTTCTCCTCTCCTCTTTTCACCGTCAGCTGATGGCAAGCTTTTCAGGAGTGGGCGGTTGGTGGGTGCTCTGGTGCGGTTTGCTCCTTCTTTCCTATTAAAAAAAACCTATCGTCTCTATCTCCCCTCCTTCTTTTTTGTGTTTGTTACTCTCTTGTAACACCTCTAATCTTCAGCACTTATATGACCTTTTTGTGTTGCAAGTGTTGTAAAACTCTTACTAAAACTAAAAAAACCTTTTCTGGAAATGTACTTTGGATAGTTGAGCTATAGGAATTGCCATCATTCTCAATACATGCGTATCTTTTCCTGTCTTTTTTTTCTTCCTATAGTTTTTGTTGTTGTTTTAAGTGGGGTTTTTTGTTGTTGCTTTTCTACAATTGCATCTGGGAACTCGGTCTAATTGCTGGATGTTCTTACTACAGTACAACACGGATAGCTTGAAGTCGTCGGGACCGGCCTCGGTAGTTCGAGGGTTATGTAGTTCGAGGAATACCTTGCATAGATTAAGGTGATTTAATAAAATGGGACCGCAGGCACAGTTTGACTGATGCGTGATTTTAAGTTTTGTGTTCAGCCTCTCTGTGGTATACTGTACTTGTATTGTGGTGATCAACTGGAGCGTCTAGCTTGCTTCTTCTTTCCTGTGAAACATCTATCGTCCTTATCTCCCCTTGTGGGTGGTTGGCGGGTGCTCTGGTGTGGTTTGCTCCTTCTTTCCTATCAAACATCTCTATTGTCCTTTTCTCCCCTTTTTCTTCTTTTTTCTGTTTGTTACTCTCTTGTAACACCTCGAATCTTCTGGCGTTCAAATGACCTTATGCAGTTGCGAGTGCCATAAAACCTCTACTAAAACTAAAGTCTAGCTGTGAAATCTCCAGCCTCTACTGTTGGTTTTGTTGTTTCTGGGTGTGAGAAGGCTGTGCTTGTGTCCCTCTGCTGGACTGTCATGGGGAAGACAAGGTGCACCGGCGAGGGAAGGGAGGGGTTTTTCCTAAGAGGCTGGTCTTCAAATTGTGGGATAAAAGTTACTGAATTGTGCTTTAATGTCTGTTTAATGTCGGTGGGGGGGGCAAGGAGACAAGGAGAAAGTGAGAGAAAGAAAAGAAGTAGGACCTATCGTTGGTACCCTTGAAACCCCCTGGTTTACATTAGCAATAGTTTGGTATGTTGTAATAGGGTTATTATTTTGGTTTGTTTCATTTTTCCAAAGGAATACAGCACATATCCCCAGTGGGATTTCTTAGGGGGCTTTTTCCCAGCAAAATGGTGCTTAGCGCTCATTTGACCTTATGTAGTTGCGAGCTCCGTAAAACCTTACAAGGGGGCTCGCGTGGCCTAGACGTTAAGGTGTTAGCCTCTCATTCAAAGGTCCCGGGTTCGAATCCGGGTAGCGACCGAAACATTTTCTTCTCTAAAATTGTCTCCTTTCACCTCCTTTCCTGCTCTCTAGCAATATTCTGTCGTCTGCTTTCGTCTCCTCTTTCTGCCCCCACCCCCTCACCTCCTTTACCCCCTCCTCTGGGCTCCTGACACTTTCTGCAGCCTTTCTACTGCTACTCCTTGGCTCCTTCTTACTGCTGTCTTTCAGCCACACCCCTGACCTTATTGTAGGAAAGATCTACACCTTGCCTTCTCGGACAAGGGTGAAACATCTCGGAGGGTTCATGTGCAAGTTGCGCACGTTAAAGATCCTTTGGTGGTCTAAAATCGATAAGAGTAGGCTTCTGCTGCCACCCGGGCAAAATTCAAAATTTCCTACCAACTAAAAAGTATTATGTGTGTCCCGCGCGCTCATATGACCTTATGCAGTTGCGAGCGCCGTAAAACACTTACCCAAACCCCCCCCCAAAACTTACAAAAACTAACCAGCAAAATGGTGCTGGGATTTTTTGTTTTTCAATGTCTTGAACTTTTCCACTTTACAGAAGAAGCACGTACAATCATCTGAGCAGCTGGCTGACTGATGCCCGGAACCTGACGAACCCTAATACAGTGAGTGTGGCTGGGTGGAGGGTGCTCTCATCTTGTTTGCTCCTTCTTTTCGGAAATATCTTTTTGTCGTTGTCTTTCCTTTTTTTTTTCTTTGAATGTTACTCTCCTGTAACATCTATTATCTTTGCCTTTTTATGACCTATTTGTGTTTGCAAATGCCGTAAAACTGTGAACTAAAACTACTACAAACCCAGTGAGTGATGTCGTCGTAATATATGTTGTCAAGGCTTGTTCATTAAAACAAGAAGAACTTTTGGCTTTTGTTCTATATCAGAATCGGGTTTTCTACCTATTTTTATACAATATAATATGGCACTCATGTGACCTTATGCAGTTGCGAGCGCCATAAAACCCTCTAAGTGGGTGGTTGGCGGGTGCTCTAGTGTGGTTTGCTCCTTCTTTCCTATCAAACATCTATCGTCCTTATCTACCCTTTTTCTTTTTTTAAAATGTTTGTTACTGTCTTGTAACACTTCTAATCTTCTGGCGCTGATATGACCTTATGCAGTTGCGAGCGCCGTAAAACCTCTACTAAAACAAAACAAACCCTCTAATTAAAAAACCCCCAATATAATGACAAATTCTGTGACAGAAGAAACCCGTGCACTTGGATTGGAAACACCACAACTTAGTCAAGCAGAATGGCAAGAGACAGGGTGTTGGAGTTTTATTGCAGGAAGGTCAAATAAGTGACTCTGTGGGTGGTTGGCGGGTGCTCTGGTGTGGTTTGCTCCTTCTCTCCTATCAAACATCTATCGTCCTTATGTCCCTTTCTTCTTTTTTATGTTTGTTACTCTCTTGTAACACCTCTAATCTTCTGGCACTCATATGACCTTATGCAGTTGCGAGCGTCATAAAACCTCTACTAAAAAAAGTGACTCTGGCTACTGGAGGAGCTAAGGAGGAGAAGATGGCAGAATGTTGACGGTAGAATGCCCTCTGCTTTTCTGTTGTGTTCATTGAAACTTGTACTTTTTACAAACTAATTTATAGTTCTTTTTGTAGCCTTTGTTTTTGTATTCATGGCCTTTAAAGGTTCCCCCCCCCCCCCCCCCCCCCCCCCCCCCGTTTCCCAGGTGATATTCCTCATCGGCAACAAATGTGATTTGGATGCACAGAGAGACGTGACCTACGAGGAGGCCAAGCAGTTTGCGGAAGAGAACGGTGAGTTGTTTGTGTGCGTTTTAGAGGGAGGAGACATGGATGAGTTGTGTTTACAAAGACAGTAGAAGGCCGTAAATCCAATAGGATTTGCAGAACAAGTATTGAAATATCGCTTAAAAGTTTGAGAATTGTCTTTTTGGTAATGAAATGGCCCTTGTGTGTCCTATGGGAGGTCGAGAATGGGGGAAAAAGAAATGTCTATGTACGATTGAGGACGGATGACTGTGAAAGATAAAGATAAAAACCAATGTCTGTATGACAGGGATGCCAAATCTCCGCTTTTTCCGGCTTTTTCCTACACTTGCAAAGGAAAGGGCAATGGTAAGAGAAATGTTTTTGTTTGCTCTTTTAAAGATTTTATGAAGTTCGTTTTAGGTGAGGTGTGATGCTCCGCTCATTTTCAGTTGGGTTTTTTTCCAAAATCATTTGGCATCCCTGGTATGAGATTGAAGTCGGATGTGTGTTGTAAAAGAATCTTGTAGACTCATTCCCTGTCTGGCTACATCACTAGACCTCATTGAGTTGTGAATGGACTTGTTTTCTCTGTGCACCAGAAAAGCTGGTGAAATTCTGTAACTTTTGAAACCCAGGTACGTGTAATATTGTCCTATAATCATGTTTTGTGTTTCTTTCTTTTTTTTTCCTGCAGGTTTGATGTTTTTGGAATGCAGTGCGAAAACGTAAGTCTATATTTTGTTCGACACGTCCTTGTAAAATTTCTAAGAAGTGAATGAGCCGTCTTTTGTTCTGTCAGTTTTTGCTGGTGTGGGGAGTGATAATTCTTGCGTAATTTCGTTCATGAATTTATTATTTTTTTCCCTTATAGTAGCCTTTGTGCCCTTTGGCCCAGTTCCTTTGGGGAAAAGTTGGAGGTCAACGACATTTGTTCTGTACTGCAGTATAGGGAATTGTCCGTGGTAGTTGATGAGAGGAAGAAGTTGACGTCAGAGATCCTGTAGTTTGTGACATGGGGAGAGCAGATCTGCCGTGAGCTGACAAAATGCCTTTTTTCATTTTGGCACCAAAATTTGCTATATCGAAGGTCTTGGCAGTTACCCTACTTGCGTGAAAAAGTGATACTGGGAGTAGTTTTTGAATTAATTAGTAAAGTCAAATTTAGGAAGGACACTATTTTTAAATGGATACGCCAACAAAAAACCTTTTTCTTGAAACTGCTGTGAATAAAAAAAAGGCATTTTGTCAGCTTACGGCAGAGATGTCGTGTCGTAGTCGTGCATGAGTAAAAGACGTGCCTTATGTCAGACACTGTGAGTTCCATTCAGCGATCACAGTTGTAGAAAGTTTGTTTCGCTACGAGTCGCTTAAATTGTGGATATTATCAAAAAGCCACGCAAATTTCTCTTTTGTTTTTCCTTTAGTCAGTTGTCGTGGAGTTCGTTTTCCCTAATGATCAGTTTTAGCTCGTTGAATCTACATCCATATTAATATTCATGTGTTTGCTTGTTGGTTTTTTCCCCTCCTTCTAGAGGGGAGAACGTGGAAGACGCCTTTCTGGACACGGCCAAGAAAATCTACCAGAACATCCAGGACGGCAGGTATGTCATGGGAATAGAACTATTGTATAGGTGGAAGGTATGTCATGGGAATAGAACTATTGTACAGGTGGAAGGTATGTCATGGGAATAGAACTATTGTACAGGTGGAAGGTATGTCATGGGAATAGAACTATTGTATAGGTGGAAGGTATGTCATGGGAATAGAACTATTGTATAGGTGGGAGGTATGTCATGGGAATAGAAGTATTGTATAGGTGGAAGGTATGGGAATAGAACTATTGCATGGGTACCTTGTGCCTTCTGCTATGTGCCCAGGGATAAAACTTGTCACATTTTTGGGCCTTGAATGAATTGCCTTAAGTGGGGATGACATGACTCTTTCATGTTCATACTTTTGATTTGTTGTTTTATTTTTACCATTTTGATTTGATTCAAAGGCTATAATCATCACATTGTTAGTTTCACCTATTTAGGACAGACTATTGTACATGAAGAATAATCTACCCACAATAGAGACCGCCCCTGTAGCCTTTGGCTGGAATTTGCACTTCCCCTCAACATGTAATGGTAAAAGAGGAAGGACAAAGTAAAGCATCGTACAACGATGCAGCGTTTTAGGCATTCACACCAGCTACTAGATACATCTGTCGTTTTGTATTGTCTGGCTCTGTCGATTTACCAGACAATACCCATGTGGGTTTTTGGCGGGTGCTCTGGTGTGGTTTACGTCTTCTTTCCTATCAAACATCTATCGTCTTTATCTCCTTCTTTTTTGTGTTTGATACTTTCTTGTAACACCTCAAATCTTTGGCACGTACATGACCTTATTGTGTTGCAAGTGCCGTAAAACTCTTAATAAAACTAAACTAAAAGACAATACCCATGTGGTGCCAGATGAGATGTGGTGGAAAATTAAATGTTTTGTTTCTTGTGCCCCCACCCCCACCCCACCCCTTCTTTTTTTCTCAGCTTGGACTTGAACGCGGCTGAGTCTGGAGTCCAGCATAAACCGGCCACCCCTCGCAACCCCATCACTACAGACCAACCCCCCAATAAAGAGAACTGTTCTTGCTAGATAGGGAGGTCATGCTTGAGTCATCCATCGTCGTCATCCCCCCAGAGTTGTCTGTCCGTGTGTCTTCATCCGTCGCCGTCTTCGTTCGTGGTCGTTGTCGTCAAGGTCAAACATCTTCCTCACCGTTGTCATCCCGATGCGCAATTGAAAGTGAATCCGTGTGTCACTGTCTGATCAGGTTACTCTACTCACCTCAGCATCATATTTGTTTTGGTTATTATTTGTCCGTTCCTTTTGGTTTGCTTGCGAGGATGTAGAATATTTCTGGAGAAAAGGAACTTGGCGTGTGTCGTGTTTTGAGAGCGAAAGTTTTTGTTTTTGTTTTTTTTCTTTCCATGTCCAACATGTTGTATTTAGTTTTTACACGGGGGTCTGGGGGATAAATGGCCTCCTAGCTCACACTCAAACTCACACCCACACTCACACTCACATCCCTCGACTTAAATCAGGCCCCGTGCAGCCGGTGGACAAGCTGTCCTTTGTGGTCTTAGATAAGATAAGATAAGATAAGATACATCTTTTTTGTCCAGATCATGGCACATTGGTTTGTTTCTGTATAGATTCCGAACTTGTGTGTTAGAATGACCACAGAAACAGTATCGGTGAACGCAAGAGTTGATTTTGAGACTGGTGGGATTCTTTAGAGTCTTAAGTGAATTCCCCAATTTACCTGATGGCTTCATCGGAAAACTTATGCTGTTGCGAGCGCCGTAAAACCTTACTAAAACTAAACTTCATTGGAAAGTACAAGGAGATCTGTCAGTGATACGCGGAATTGTGAAAGTTTTTGATTGGAGGGCCTGTGTGTGGAGAGTTTTGGTGTGAGAAAGTGGAGGGTCAAGGTTGTGTTGTTTGCTCTGTGTGCCGCCAAGTGTGTCTGGGGAAGTGGTGCGGTAATGGTGGCCGGTGGGTGTGGCAGGAAGGTGGGTGTGGCAGGACCCTGTTTATGGACCAGTCGGTGTTTCTGGAAAATCTCATCAAACGTCGCTCGTTACTTTGACATCATCATTGTCTTGTTTGTACATTTTCTGTTCCCATGTGATCTACTAGAGATTTTTAAGTTGTTATGTCAGAAATGTGAAATGGGTGGGGGCAAAATGGTCTAAAGTTGGAGTGCTTATTTTTCAGGAAAGAAAGGAAGTCTCGTCGAATTATATCATACTTCAGCTTGTAGTGTCAACTTGAGACCATTTTGGGGGGGGGTCGTTTCAAGAGTAAACGTCGTGATAATAAAAACTGTAGGTCCATGGACGTCTGATGATGATCAATGCATCTGGAGAGGAGAACATTTCTTAACCCAGCTGAAGAAGTAAGAGTTAAAGACGACTGCTGGCTTCTGCTCTGGCCAATGAGACCAATTATGTCACAGAAAAGTTTGCCACATTTTGAGCATTTAAAGGCTTCAGTCTCCCCCGTGGATGTGTGCAGCTCGCAGGCTTCTCTGTTGTCTTCTAGTGGAAACCTACAGGCTGGATGATACACAGCCGTCGGGTGGAGAGAGGAAGGAAAAGTTGACTTGTTTCGGGGGGGGGGGGGGGGGG